GACTGACCTAATGACTCTGGCCTGGACGATGATGGGAAGATTGTTTTGCTTCACTTGCTTAGGCTGCCTAACAGACAACACAAGTGGCCCAAGTCAAACAGACTGTTTGAAAGCCCTGTGACACAACAGTGAGTCAGAAAGCAGAGTTGAGTGCAGGCTGATGCAGCAGACAGGAGGAAGATGAGCAGAGTGAGGCTGATGCAGGGAAGATACCAGATTGCATAAAGACAGATCTGAGAGAAAACTGGGATGGATGCCAGCATGCAGAGTAACTGACACAGTGTGTCTGACATGACCTGAACCAGGCAAACTGGTGGCACCCTCTGTTTGCTGCTGATCATCTCTTTTGAGGGAGCCATCTCTTGGCACCTGCAACACCAGACAAAACACAAAGGAATGAGGACCTTCACCTGGACAGAGGGACAAGGAGCAAAAGAGAGGAAAAGAGGGCTAAAGAGCTTGACAGAGGGATGGAGAAAGAGCGAGAATGATAGAGACCTGGACATAGGGAGCTGGACCAATGGATAGAAAGAGAGAAATGGAGGGCTGGACAGATGGCCATGGAGCAGAAAAGAGGGATGTAGAGGTGGACAGAAGAATAAAGAAAGGAAAAGAGGGAGGTGGAGCTTGACAGAGGGATGGAGAGACAGCGAGAGGGACAGAGAGCAGGACAGAATGACAAGGAGTGAAAGAGAAGGACTGAGTACTAGACAGAGGGGTAGGGAGTGGGAGAGGGATGGGGAGGTGGACAGAGAAATGGAAAGAAAGGGCTGTAAGGGTGGTCAAAGGGATGGGGCACAGGAGAGGGACAAGGAGCCTGCCAGAGCAATGCGAAGAGAATGAGAAGGATGAAGAGCCAGAGAGAAGAGTGGAAAGACAAAAAGAGGGAGGGAAGTTGGTCAGAGGAATGGAAGAGGGGAAGACAGGAAGTGAGATGGACAGGTCTTTGGGGGAGGCCTTTTGGGTGCTGGGGCAGGTTTAGGGGGTGTCTGGATATTGGTGTGAGCTAGTGGTCAGGGTTTGGGGGTGGTTTTTGGTGGAGCTTGGAACAGGGCTTAGGGTGTTTCATGGTTGCAGGGCAGGCTTGGGGTGTTGGGGGGGCTAAGGGGCAAGATTTGGAGGAAGGTCTCTGGGGGCCCTGAAGCAGGATTTGGGGTATTTTGGGACCTTGGGGCAGGTTTGGGGATATTTGGAGACTCTTGGGCAGGGAACTCTGGAGCAGGGTTTTTAGGGCCCTAGGACAGGGTTTGGGGGCATTTGCGGTTTGCGAGGTCACTGCACACTCATTGGATGCGAGAACACCAGTGCAGTGTGAGTCCTGGAGAAGCCATATCACTATTGAAGGTTGCTGAAGCTGAGCACATTGCAGGGCCATCCAGCAGGGCCTTGCTGTCTACCCTAACTGAATCTAATGACATCTGGTCTAAATGAGAATAAAGTCCAATCAAGTGCTGGCTTGTGCTTGTCTTACTGGGACAGGGCCAGAAGGTGCTAGAAGGCAGGTGGGGGGGTGTCCTGTAGGGGGTGCTGCAGAGCTGCAGGGAGGCCTGTGGGGGGCATCTATGCCCCTGCCTGGTCCCCAAGGAGGCTGTGCTTTCCTCATAGGGGTATCAGGGCATCCAGCCAGTTTCCTCACAGTGTGGGATCGAGAGGGCTCAGGTGTCCCTGCAGTCACTGGGAGGCCAGGACTGACACACAGAAGGAGGTAGGTAGATGTTTGGCGTCACAAGTCACCTGGGCACAGGGGTGGCAGGGGGTGCCTGGTGCTGTTGGGGCAGCATTCGGGGTGGTTTTTAGGTCTAGGGACTTCAAGGTTGGTGGTGGTGTTGGGGAAGGATTATGGGAGCTGGGGACTTTTGGGGGGCATCTGTAGGACCATCAGTGGGGGGGGGGCTTACAGACAGGGGTGAAAGTGGTGATCTTTCATATGGACGTACTTAAACTCAAGTTCTCTCAACCCTTAGTAACTTCAGTACTCAGGGCACTTAGTTTTTGGACTCTCTCACACTTCCCTTGTTCTTTCCTCTCTTGATTGCTACCCCTCCCAAGCCCCTTCCGCGCTTCCATGTTTCTTTAACACTGCATCACTGAAATCAACAAAATGGGTTGAGCTGCTTCTCTTCAGGTTGCTGGCCCCTGGAGGACTATCCTGTAAATTAATCAAACTACCAAGATCATTGGGTGATTCTCATTTTAGAGCATTTTTTCAAAGCTTTAATTGTGGTTCCCCAGTCTGGGCAAACAGAGATACTTGGGCTCCCTTAAGCACTATAACGATTTTTATTCTGGGGTTTTTCACATCGAGCAGTTAGACTAAGCAAAGCAAGGCAAACACGCATTAGGTCACAGGTTAGCCGTGAGCCGTGAAAATTCTTACTGTAGGCATTACTGGTTATTTCAGGTAAACAGACCAAAATACAGCTCCAAACAGGTAGGTGAGGCTTCATGCAGACCTTGTGACATGTTAGCAATGGCAATGCTACATTGACTGGGCTACTGGTCAGTGTTCCCCCTCTCCTTTGCTGGTCCGTGGATTATTACTCACAAGTCCGGTACAGATGCTGCAGACCTTCCTATGGCTCAAGGCTCCTAATTAGGACCAGACAGAGAACCTTTCTGGAGGTGTTTGTGTTCTCCTGGCTGCCCTTGACACATGATAACTTTTAAAGGTCTGAGGGTGCTAGCCTGTATTTCTTATGGCAGTGTATAGTCTTTCCCTGATGTTCTGAATGCCTAGGATTAGCACCATTTATAAACACAAAAATAGCATTACTACAGCGTGTAAAGCCAAGCTAAAATTTCTATAACTGAAGAAAATCTCCCTGACTATGATAAAGCGAGCCATATACACCAGCACCGATCACTCAAGGCTAGCAATGGCTCCCAAGCAATTTTATTCTGGCCAGTTGTGCATCTCAGCCCCTTGGCTTTGCCTCAGGAATCTCTGTTGTGACATTTTTAACCTTGTCAGCCAGTGCTTGTTGATGGAGGCAATCTAAAATTCATTGCCCCGGAAAAGCATAAAGGAAAGCAAGAAAAAAATCAAAGCTTTGCAGAGAATCATAAGAAATCAAAATTAGTAATAAGTATAAGAGCTGATCTAATAGACACAAACAAGGTAAATAATATGAAGCCACAAACACCATTTCCCCGCCCCTACTTTGCGGACTATAATGTCATTTGGGTTTGCTGTGAGAGGAAAGTTAGACTAAGTAGTTGCTGGAGGTTAATCTTTCAGAAACTTTGTGTCCACATTTTTGGCACAACTGCACGCTACTCCTCATTCAAGTCAGAAGATCCACTTCTTGTAACGCTTGCACAGCAACTCCCTGCTTATTAGTATCAGTGCCCACTGGGCCACTTGGATAGAGGATATTCTGCTGCCTACTCGTTTCCCCGACATAGCTACTTTAGAAGGATTTGAACATGTTGGATTGCAACTCTGCTGTTAAAGGTGAAAACCTCAAAGGCAGTTACAGCCTAGATCACTGCTCAATAGCCTTTATGATAGCCAGAGAATTTTTGCTCTGGCCCCAAAGGGGACATAAGACTGATGCTACAGGTACCCATTTTTACCCTAATTGCTGTTTTGTAGCAGTGCTGCTCCCATAGAATCAGTGGATGTGGAAATCCTTACTGCAAAAGGCTTTCTTTGTTCTGGAAATTTTAGATCAGGAAATTTTGTTGTCCCAAAGAAGGGTTCTTTCGCCCGGTGTGCAATGAGCCTAAACCACACAGAGTCGAGATATTTGTTTAATTCATTTCTGCGCAGAGATGGGTGCTAGGTGGTAACTCCACCAAGCTAGCACACCTCATTACTACACAGCTTACACTTTATACAGTTTAAGCAACAGTTCTCAGTATAGTTTACAAGGCCATTAAGTCCTCCTCATTCTTATTGGTTCTGTTAGGTCTCCTCTTCATTGGAAGTCACAGTATCCTCTTTTTCTACTCGGCATGCTCTATGGGGAAGGGGCTTTGATCAGCAGGGGGCTTCCCTGCTTGCAGGTGGGTTTTTTATTATGCTAATTAGGATAGTTCACCCGGAGTTCAAGTAGTTCTCTCCTCTGTTTATCAGCTGTTTTTGTTCTCTTCAGGTTTATTTGGGAACTTCCTTATCTGGTTGCCTTATAGTGTTGTCTTGCTCCTTCCTTCAAGGCCTTGTTTTGTTAACTACCTGTGAAAGACTGAATAATACCTTACTCTCCTTTTTCCCCATACCTCCAACAATTCTTCCAGTCTAATGAAAGCAGCTTCACGTTCCTCATTCTAGCTCCATTCCTGACTCTTTTCCAGTAATTTTCACCACAGCCTGCTGATAGTAGCAAAACTGCTGTACCTCACCAGGAAAAACACAGTTTCTCTTGTTTGGAAATGGAAAACGCTTTCAAATTGGATCCACTTAATTTTATTACTTCAGCTTTTTCACATCTTTCTGGCCTCTGCAATTTCAACCGTGACAACTAATCTAAGTATTATATCTTAACACCCTCCTCGGCCCGGCACGTCCACGCATCAACAGCCTCAGGAGGCAGCCCGATGCCCGCGGCCACCCGAAGGAACTATCCGCCTCACCC